TGGTAAACAGGTCAGTTGGTTAACAGGTCAGCTGGTAAACAGGTCAGCTGGTGAACAGGTCAGCTGGTGAACAGGTCAGCTGGTGAACAGATTAGCTGGTTAACAGCTGAGCTGGTGAACAGGTAATCTGGTGAACAGGTGAGCCGGTGAACAGGTGAGCCGGTGAACAGGTGAGATGCTCACCAGGTGACCCAAACGCCGTCTGCTCTGCGCCAGGTGCTGCAGGATAAACATGGCGGCTGGCAGAACGTCAGCATGGTGAACCACTTCAACGACTTCGCCAACCTGTGCTTCGAAAGGTTTGGAAACCGGGTGAAGAACTGGATCACCTTCAACAACCCCTGGGTACGTCGGTGGGTGTTGGGGGGGCGGGGCATTCGCTGTCAGCTCCGACATCTGGCTTCTCCCGGACGCTGAGTCTCAGGCTGTGTGCTTTCAGTCCATTGCTGTGGAGGGATATGAAACCGGAGAGCACGCCCCGGGACTGAGGCTGAGGGGAACCGGAGCCTACAGAGCCGCCCACCACATCATCAAGGTGGGTGTGGCCTGGGGGGGGCGCCCACTGCCAAGTCCGCATGGCCCCCTCTGAGGCAAGACGCTCATGTTTCTGCATTCAGACGCTTTTATCCAAAGCGACTCACAAAGTAGACGCGATGTTCCACTTCTCATCAGTCTGAGAACAGTCGGATAAGCAGTTTTTTAAAGCTATTTTTGGGGTTTAAAGCTGTTTTTCTGGGCTTTGAAGCTGTTTTGGGGGCTTTAAAAGCTGTTTTGGGGGCTTTAAGAGCAGTTTCGTGGCTTTTGAAAGTGTTTTTTTGGGGCTTAAAATATATTTTTGGGGGTCTTTTAAAGCGGTTTTTGTGGGCATAAAATATTTTTTTTCGGAGCTTTGAAGCGGTTTTTGGGGATTTTAAAGCTGTTTTGGGGGCTTTAAAACTGTTTTGTGATTTTAAAGTTGTTTTTTTTGCTTTCAAAGCTGTTTTTTGGAGCTTTAAAGCTTTTTTGGGGGAGAGGTGCATGATGGGAGCCCCCCCCAGCAGAACTATGGGGGGTTTCAGGGTCCTGTCTGGTATCAAGCTTCCTGTGTTCTCTGCTACAGGCTCATGCTAAGGTTTGGCACACGTATGACATGAAGTGGAGGAGCAAACAGAAAGGTCTGGTCGGGATCTCGCTCACGGCCGACTGGGGGGAACCGGTGGACGCGTCCAACCAGAGAGACATCGAGGCCGCAGAGAGATACATCCAGTTCTACATGGGCTGGTTCGCCACCCCCCTCTTCAACGGGGACTACCCCCAGGTCATGAAAGACTACATCGGTACGAGTCCCCGTCTTTTGGTTCCCATTTGTTGGTTCTTGTCTTTGGGTTTTTGTTTGTTGGTTCTTGTCTTTTGGTTCCTAGTTGTCCATTCTTGTCGTTTGGTTCTTATTTGTTTTTTTTTTTGTCTTTTAGTTCCTGTTTTTCTGTTTAATGCTAAATCATGCTAAACCCTTAGATCCACATAGATGTTCCTAGGAACTGTGCCTGAACGTTTTCAGTTTGTTGGTTCTTGTCTGTTCTTGACTTTCGGTACCCGTTTGTTGGTTCTTGTCTTTTGGTTTCTGGTTGTTGGTTCTTGTATTTTGGTTCCTATTTGTTGGTTTTTGTCTTTTGGTTTTATTTTGTTGGGTCTTGTCTTTTGGTTCCTGTTTGTTGGGTCTTGTCTTGTCTTTTGGTTCCTGTTTGTTGGGTCTTGTCTTGTCTTTTGGTTCCTGGTTGTCCGTTCTTGTCTTTTGTTTCCTATTTGTTGATTCTCTTCTTTTGTTTTCTCTTTGTTGGTTAATGTCTATTCTTGACTTTGGTATCTGGTTGCTGGTTCTTGCATTTCGGTTCCTGTGTGTAGGTTCTTGTCCTGTGTGTTGATTCTTGTCTTTTGGTTTCTGTTTGCTGGTTCTTGCATTTCGGTTCCTGTGTTTTGGTTCTTGTCCTGTGGGTCAGTTCTTGTTCCTATTTTCCTGTTTGATGCTAAATCCTACTTAACCCTTAGATCCACATAGATGTTCCTAGGATCTAGGCCTAAGTTCCCCCTTCCCCCTCCAGGTAGGAAAAGTGGCCAGCAGGGCCTGGGGGCCTCCCGGCTGCCCGTCTTCTCCCCCCAGGAGAAGAGCTTCATCAGAGGCACCTGTGACTTCCTGGGCCTCGGGCATTTCACCACCCGCTACGTCACCCAGAGGAACTATCCCTCCAGCCTCGGGGACAGCTTCTTCGTGGACCGGGACCTGGCAGAGCTGGTGGATCCCAAATGGCCCGACCCTGGTTCTGAGTGGCTCTACTCGGTTCCCTGGGGCTTCCGGCGCTTGTTGAACTTTGTGAAGGTGAGCAGCAGGAAATGGATTTAACAAGTTTGGTTCTTGTCTTTAGGTTCCTTTTTGTTGGTTCTTTTGTTTCTATCCCTGTTTGTTAATTCTTGTCTTTTGGTTCCTGTTTGTTGGTTCTTGTATTCCTATTCCTGATTGTTTGTTCTTGTGTTTCTACTCCTGTTTGTTGGTTCTTGCCTTTTGGTTCCTGTTTGTTGGTTCTTGTGTTTCTATTCTTGTTTGTTGTTTTCTGTCTTTTGGTTCCTGCTTGTTGGTTCTTGTGTTTCTATTCCTGTTTGTTGGCTCATGTATTTTGGTTCCAGTTTGTTGGTCTTGTCTTTTGCTTCCTGTTTGTTTGTTCTCGTCTTTTGGTTCCTCAGTATTGGTTCCCGTCTTTTGGTTCCAGTTTTTTGGTCTTGTCTTTTGCTTCCTGTTTGTTGGTTCTTGTCTTTTGGTTCCTGTTTGCTGATTCCTGTATTTTGGTTCCAGTTTGTCGGTTCTTGTCTTTTGGTCCCTTTTTGCTGGTTGTTGTCTTTTGGTTCCTGGTAGTCGGTTCTGGACGCTGCTCCCCTCCTGGCGTTAACGTGTGACCTCCCCTACAGACCCAGTACGGGAACCCCATGATCTACGTGACGGAAAACGGCGTCTCAGAGAAAATGCTCTGCACCGACCTGTGCGACGACTGGAGGATGCAGTACTTCAGGGACTACATCAATGAGATGCTGAAAGGTGACGGGGTCTGGGTTACTCCGGGAGCCCATTTGCAGACCCAGAGCCAACCTGTCCCCGTCTGCCCCCCCAACCCCCCACAGCGATCAGGGACGGCGTGAACGTGAAGGGCTACACGGCCTGGTCGCTGCTGGACAGCTTCGAGTGGGACGAGGGCTACTCGGAGAGGTTCGGCCTCTACTATGTGGACTTCAGGAGCAGGAGCAAGCCGCGCTACCCCAAGGCCTCGGTCCAGTTCTACAAACGCATCATCAGCTCCAACGGCTTCCCCAACCAGAGGGAGGTAATCAATCAATCAAT